CTGGGTAGGATAGGATTCTGGGCAGTATAGGATAGGATACTGGATAGTATAGGATAAGATCCTGGATAGGATAGGATAGGATAGGATAGGATAGGATCCTGGGTAGGATAGGATTCTAGGCAGGATAGGATAGGATACTGGATAGGATGGGATAGGATAGGATCCTGGATAGGATAGCATACTGGATAGGATAGGATTCTGGGCAGGATAGGATAGGATCCTGGGTAGGATAGGATAGGATGCTGGATGGGATATGATACTGGGTAGGATAGGATAGGATTCTGGGCAGGATAGGATGTTATATCCAATGCCTTGGAAATGGTTTTGTATCCCTCGTCTGATTGATACCTTTATGTTCTTTGCACATCATATCTTTTGCTATAAGAGGCAGCTGAGTAAAATATCAGAAAAATAGCTGAACTTTATATGGGCTTGATCAGAGTCACTTTAATTGATGCCATGTGTATACTGACTCCTATTTAAAATCCAGTTAAATGTTCAGTTAATTCTGACCACAGTCACATCCCTACTGATAAGAGGGTATGCACACCTTATGCAACTACATTTATTTTTATTTCCCCCCCTAAAATATTTCAGATTTTTTTTTTCCAATTCAGTTGTATACTTTATATGTTATATTAAAGGTGGGAAAAAAACCTGAAGTGTTTTATCTTGGTCTGATTTTTCTACATCTCAAAAGGGGTGTGTAGACTTTTTATATCCTAGATCAGTGATGGCTAACTTTTTCCTTGTTGCATGCCAAAAGCGTGCCCATGCGCATGCGTGCCTGCACCCATAATGCAATGTGCAGGCAACCCCCCCACCCCTGCACATGTGTGCGCAATCCCAGTGTGTGCACCGCATGCCTTTGTGCATGTGCGCACAATCCCCCCACATGTGCCCTGCCCCTTGCACATGCGTGCACATCTCCCGCATGCGCATCTCCCCCGTGCATGCGTGGCAGATACCCAACAATCAGCTGGCTGGTGGGGGGGGCACACATGCATGCGCAGTGGGTCTGTTCTGGGCGGCCTCTCGTGTTCCAGCAGAAAAGGCTCTGTGTGCCACTTCTGGCACTCGTGCCATAAGTTCGCCATCATGGTGCTAGACCAAGGGTCTTCAAACTGGGCAAGTTTAAGACTTGTGGACTTCAACTCCCAGATTTCCTGAGCTAACATGACTGGAGGAGGAATTCTGGGAGTTGAAGTCCACAAGTCTTTAAAGCTGTGAAGTTGGAAGACCCTTATCCTAGACCTAGATGGATGGATGGATGAATAGACGGACGGATGGATGCATAGATGGGTGGATGGACAGATGGATGGATGGATAGATGGATGGACAGATGGATAGATGGATAGATGGATATAGGTGGATGGATGGATGAATGGACAGATGGATAGATAGGTGGATGGATGGATGGACAAATAGATGGATAGACAGATGGACGGATTGATGGATGGATAGACAGATGGATAGATGGATGGATTGACGGATGGATGGATAGACAGATGGATAGATGGATGGATTGACAGATGGATGGATAGACAGATGGATAGACAGATGGATGGATGGATAGACGGATGGATGGATAGACAGATGGATGGATGGATGGATGGATGGATGGATGGATGGATGGATAGACAGATGGATGGATGGATGGATAGACAGATGGATGGATATACAGATGGATGGATGGATAGACAGATGGATGGATGGATAGACAGATGGATAGACAGATGGATGGATGGATGGATAGATGGATGGATGGATGGATAGACAGATTGACAGATGGATAGATGGATGGATAGACGGATGGATAGATGGATAGACAGATGGATGGATGGATAGACGGATGGACAGATGGATGGATAGACGGATGGATAGATGGATGTGGCTGGATGGATGGGTACGTTCAAGATTTAGAGAATAACTCAGAACAAGAAGTGGATTCATTTTCCACTTCCCGGTAACATACAGATTTCATCTTGTGATCTGGAAATCAATGCGTTATTTTGGGGGGGAAAAAAAGGCGCCAGAAATCCCGAGTCCGTCAGAACGAGGCGAGAGGGAGAGTCGCCTCCGCGGGACAGGCGCGTCCGTATCCTTCGCGGGCGGGCGAGCGGTCGCCGGAGCCCCTCTGGGCAAAAGCGGGGGGGGGGGGGGGGGGAAGCGCCTCGGCCTCTTTGGCCCGCGGAGAGCGGCTTGCCTTCGGCACCTCTAATCGGGGGAATCCCACCTTCTCTTCTCCCGCCCTCCCCGTCAAGTTTCTGCCTCGAGAGAGGCACCAGGCGGAACAAAAGTCGCGCCGTCGTTCCGCTCGCCTCACAGACTCTCCCGGCCACCTCTGGAAACCTCCCCGAAGCGGCGAGGCGTCGGTTGGGTTCGGCTGCGGTGGAAGGAGAAGAAAGAAGATCCCGCGGGGGGGGGGGGGGGGGCGAGGGATCTTCCCACCATGTTTTCTTTTCAAAGCTCCCCCCCCCGCCCCCCCCCCCGCTTTCCTTCCTCCCGGGTTGCCCTCGGCCCGCTCAAGCCAGCCGCGCTTCTCCCGCGTCCCGGGGAACGTCGGGGTGGGGGCAGAGAGCGGGAAGGAAGGGTGGGGTTTTTCGGCGTTGCTACAACCGAAAGAAGCGGGCTCTTTCCGCGCAGCCGTGGCGTCCCTGACATCCCGAGCAGCAAAAAATAAATAAAAAGCCAACGTCAGTTTGCTTTAACAATCACCGAGGCTAACACGCTCCAATCATAAGGGGAGGCTCGGCAAGGGGGCAACTCCCAGGCGGAGCCCACCGGCCCTTTTAAGGACACCTCCTCGTTGGGTGGCGAGAAGCAAAAAAAAAAAAAAACCTCCGAAGAGCAAGAAACGATCGCCGCTTCCTTGGGAAAAGAAGCCCCCCCACCCTTTTTTTCCCCTCCTTTTTCTTTGAAGCCTTGGACTCTCTCTCCCTTCGCCCTTTTCTGTCGCCATCTCTGCCAGGCATGGCTGACACCTTGAGGAGGCTGATCAACAATGAGACCTGCAGGATTTTGCAGGAGAAGCTGGAAAGTTGGTACAGAGACTATTACGTGAGTGTGTAAAACGCCTGGTTTACATAAAGCCAGCTGTCTTTCCAGAAGGCATCTGGGGACAAGGAGGTGGCTGGTGTGTGTGTGTGCCCGCACGCATGTGTGTATTTTTGTGTTGAGTGTGTAGCATCCTCTCTACTGTATATTTATTTATTAGAGTATGGTAAATATATGGGCTTATAGTGGTTAAAATGTTCATATCCAGTCCACCCACCCATTCAAGGACAGGGTGATTAATTATAAGTATAATTATAAGTATAATTTGATTGCTTATGACTATTGTTAAGTGTTGTACCTGATGATTCTTGACAAATGTATCTTTTCTTTTCTTTACACTGAGAGCATTTGCACCAAGACAAATTCCTCGTGTATCCAATCACACTTGGCCAATAAAGAATTCTATTCTATTCTATCTATGTTGGAAAAAAACAGACATTGGGCCAGTGTAAGCTCTTCGAATAGAACAGAACAGAATAGAACAGAACCAAACAGAACAGAACAGAACAGAATAGAATAGAATAGAATAGAATAGAATAGAATAGAATAGAATAGAATAGAATAGAATTCTTTATTGGCCAAATGTGATTGGACACACAAGGAATTGGTCTTGGTGCAAATGCTCTCAGTGTACATAAAAAGAAAAAAATACATTCGTCAAGAATCATAAGGTAGAACACTGAATAATAGTCATAAGGTACAATAAGCAATCAAATCATACTAGAAAATGTCTCTTGATGGGCATTTGGATACAATGTGATGGATATTTTGTCGGGAAGCACCACGGTTGTGGGAGTCCCATCACTTGAGACTTTCAAGAAGAGATTGGACTGCCATTTGTCAGAAATGGTGTAGGGTCTCCTGCTTGGGCTGGGCTGGGGGTTGGACTAGATGACCTATAAGGTCCCTTCCAACTCTGATTATCTGTTATCTGTTACACTGAGGGGTAGAGATTCTTGATATTTTTTTTTAACGCGATGCAATATTATTTTCCCTTCCGGCGAAAGCAAGAGCAGGAAAATGGGGAAAAAAAAATACATCTGCAGTAATATAATAAAAAGCTTCCAATGCGGCTGTCCAAGAACAAGGTGTTTTGGGGAAAGGATGGGTTTTTTTTTAAAAACAAACCCTCTTAAGGGAAAGAAAAGCCCCACCACGATCCTGATTTACAAATGGAGCTTTGAGAAGCAAGTTTATGGCGGGAGATGGATCCAGACTTTTAAATGGATCCTGGAGAGCCATTTCCCGGGAAAACCCGTAACCAAGGACGCTGGATTTCAGCGCCAAGAGGGAGGGAGCGAGGGAGGGAGGGAGGCAACGTGGTTGGTTGCCACGGTTACAGAATGTAATGGTATACTGTACCGACAACATCTCAGAACAGCGATTATTTGTAATTATTGATTACTCAGGTTTCTTTTCTTCCACCCACGCCCCAGTTTGGCACGGATCGCCCTCGGTCGCCCTTGGCTGATCTGGAAAGGCGACTTGGGTGAGGAAAACA